TATGTCAACACGCTCGCTCACTCGTTTGTTAGAGTTTTAAGTGTTTACCTCGATCTGCGCCAAATGCAAACTGAGACGAGTAGAGATAATCGAATCTTTCCTTTTTATTCCCTGGTGTTCTCACGTCTCTGCACTAATAAAATCACAGATGAAGGAATAAATCCTTCCAGACAGGCTGACCTACTTCCTCCTCAGGTTGTTGCTTTAATTATCTCTGACACGGAGGTTATGTTTTCACCCGTCTATTTCCTTGTTTGTTTCTTTGTTCTTGTGACATAGGTCAAGAACAAATCCAGTAAAATTTGTGGTGGATCTGGGCAAAGGGGCGAGTCCAGGAATTTTTGGGAATTTAATAGTTTTTATATTCTCACCAATTTCTCAGAAAATAATTAATGTGATTGTTCAATGTGTCAGAATTGTATATTAACAAATTCTGTACTGTACATCCTTTGAGGGTTGTGGGGTACACTCTGGACAAACGATCAGTCTGAGGACAATTAGGAGTCCTCATTTAACCCAACTACAATCTGCATGTCTATGGACTGAAAGCAGGAGAACCTGGAGAAACAAGGACACCATGCAAACTCCACTCAGACAGACCTTAGCTGAACCAGGTTTAAAATGTGCAAACTACTGCACCACCACACCGCCCTGCATGGACCTCAATGAAAGAAATCAGGCATATTCAGAGAACTATGGTTAGGGTTGAGTGTGTGTAGTTAGGTGCAGCTTGATTAATTTAAGGGGACTGTTGGGCCTCTGTGGAGGCATGAACTCTACTGACTTTCTGCGGAAATCACAACATGTCAAGCATCTTTTCTGAATTTCTTTCAGGTGCCAAGTTTCCCATCAAGTGGACGGCTCCGGAGGCCGCTCTTTACGGGAAATTCACCATCAAGTCTGACGTGTGGTCGTTCGGCATCCTGCTGACGGAGCTGGTGACAAAGGGCAGAGTGCCCTATCCAGGTGAGTGTGTTCAGCTCAGTGGATTATGTGATCTCTTCAATTCGCTGGTGTTTGATTAACACAGTGTGCGGGTGAGTCTTCAGCCATGCTTCTGAATGCTAAAAAAAACCCAGCACGTTGCATAATTCACATTACGTTGTGCATAATGCAGAGAATTGTTCCAGATGACTGTGACAACATGTGAAATGAGTCTGTGTTCATCTGCTCCTGTGGTTGTTCCTTTTTAGCTGCATTATAACGCATCATACTTAAGTCTCCTACGTGAGGTGCAGAATAACAGAAGAGAAGAAAGCTACATTTTTGAAATTAAAGAATTATAATAAACCCATTAGCACGAGTGGTGAATGACCACCGGCTTTTTCATGTGTATGTTCTGGTATAATCATCGTTTAAGCTTCGCGATACAACCTTTAATTGCTAGCCCGGTAGCTAGTGGGCTGTTCGATCACTCGTAATGAATCATGATTATTAATTTCCATTTGCTGTGTAACATGAATAAAACTTTAATTCATCACCTCATCTGAAAACACGATTTCCACCACAACTCCCATAATTCCACGCTGCTTCACACTGTCATCACACTAGATGTTTTTTTTATTGTTTTGATTAAGAGACCCCTAGTGGCCAACGTTAGATATTGTACGTTTCCTTGTGACCTCGTTTAAATATATAGATTGAAACTGCACTGGCTTGCAGAGACATATAAAAACAGTATAGAAGCACTTATTCTAGTCTTAGTTAGTATTGAGCTGATATATATTTTTATCAGTTTTATTTTTTACTTAAATATATATTTGTGCACAATGTGATCAAAATAATATGTAATTGTAAGTAAATTAAAGGTGCATCAACAAGCTTTAGAGCTTTCTATCAGTCAATCACACCTTTAACTTTACTTACTTTAACTCAGATCTTTAAAATATCCAAACAATGTTTATGTGAAATTTCCAGAAAAACAAGACAGTTGCATCAGGGTGAGGTAGTTGTTTGAAGGCTGCGTTGTCAGTGATGTTTATCTGCATTTCTCCCTGATCCTTCCTCCAGGCATGAACAACCGCGAGGTGCTGGAGCAGGTGGAACGAGGCTACCGGATGCCGTGCCCGCAGGACTGCCCCGTGTCGCTGCACGAGCTGATGGTGCAGTGCTGGAAGAAGGACCCGGAGGAGAGGCCGACCTTTGAGTATCTGCAGGCGTTTTTGGAGGACTACTTCACTGCCACTGAGCCCCAGTACCAGCCCGGGGATAATCTCTGAGCACCGCCGGCCTCAACTCATGTCATTTCACGGGCTCTCCACTAGAGAGAGCCAGACTCCACATTATTCTCTCTCTCTCTCTCATCCTGTGGCTCTAACCATTTTAAAGGCTCATTGACTGACTTCTTGACTTCCAAGCTTCACACATGCACACACACACGCGCACGTACACACACACACACATGCACACACAGGGACGGACGGCTGCTCTGTCAGCAAAATGACCATCACTTCAGTGGATGTTTGTGAGGTGGGAGGGGCGTTTGAGATGAAATGACTGCCATGGATGAACCAGATAAGTTGTGTAACTTGTATGTAGTGTAAATACAAAATGCTTGTTTACTTATCTTTTTTTTTTCTTTCCTTTTATATTACTTTTGATATTTTGGAAATATGTGGGTTTTGTTTTTTAATCCGAGGTTAAAAGTTATTTCAGATTTACGGCTCGTAGAGAAATCGCGTGCGGCTCACAGTTGGTAACAAATGGTGACACATGATAATTGTAGGAATGCTAATAGTTAGACGTCATGGACCGAGATCTCTCAGAGGTTTTTCTGGGAGTCCACTGACCTTTTTTACGGGGTTAATCTTGACAGTACTCCTCTCTCCTCTTCTCAAGGAACTTAGATGTACTTATAACACCTGTTCTTGCCTTTTCATGTTTAGTAATATCTCTTCTAATGTAAGGGAATGCCTTCATGCTTTCTACACAGTAACGTAGTGCATCATGGACTCTTCCACCCAAACTTGTGCGGCATCTTGCACTGATCTCGAGTGCATTCATCGCATTTCAGCTTCGGCCAAATGATTTTTAAGAATCGGCTTAAAGTAACTTTTAGTTTAGCTTAATCCACGGGGGCTGGCGTCCGCTCTCGACTGCAACCATTGTTCGCCTGACTGCTTATTATACTGACAATGTTTTAAAATGTATGTTTCATTAGGGAATGGCAGCAGGCTGTGTAAGAACTCGCCGTCTCGCTTCAGTGGCCAAACAAACAGCCACTTCACGAGACGGGAATGAAGGATGTGTTCCTTGTGTTTGTCCCTCCATAATGTGTTCCTGGAAATAACATGTTGTTTACGAGACCAAACGTGTTGACTTTTTTTGTGTTATTTTGCTCAGCATCACGGCCAGTCTCATGTGTCCTTTAAGCAACACGATTATGTGATTTGCCGGAGAAATGTGCAGCTCCGGACCACGTTTTTATCATCCTCAACTGTCCAACTTCTCTCCCCCGCGTGAGAAGGAGCATTCCAGGAAAATACACCTTGTCTGTGTGTATTCATTTTGCTTTTCATGAGCAAAAACTAGATTTTGTACAACATATTAACCCTAATTCAGTAGAACACCAACTGTTTTTGGTCTCTCTGCATTATTTATTGTCTCTGTCTGTTACTTGTACACAGCTGGTTTTGAAATAAACAATCTTGCCATCATCAGCCTGTGACTTGGAAACAATGAACACTTGTCAGTAACTGTTCTTTTAAACTTTCTCCAGAGAACATTTAGCACCATAGGGCCAATTTTCTCCACCAGCTCTGTGTAAATACATGCAGCTCACGACTGCGGTGTCCAGGAGAGTGATTAAGTTTTTCTGGTTTTCCTTCAGTCTGGACATGACAAAGATAACATGACTGAACTCACTATATATGCAAATCACTTTGCAAGTGCCTAACTGACATCTGCGGTGCATTGACTGATTTAGTGCTTCTTTAATTTACTCCACAAAGGAGGTTAGGTTTAAGTCTTGATAGTGAGTTAGAATTATGCAAAAACTACTCAACAGATTTTTAAGAAATGTTGTAAAAGGGGGGAACATGACCCGAGAAAGAACCTAAAACAGTTTGGTGTGGATACGCATCAAGGGGGGGATCCAGGAGTTTTTTTTCACTTTCTTGTTATATTAAGAATATATAACACATTTAACCTCTTTTTCACATTTTCATATCCTCCTAATCTGCTTCCAATTGCTGAGGAGAATATTTTGTGTTAGGTCACAGCTCCCAAAGACTCAACTTTCCTGGCTGGTCTGGCTGAGCAACACAAACACTACATTCTTGGCTCTGATTGGCTGCAGCTCAAGCAATGGAGAATTTGCATATAGCAGACTTTAACACAGACACACACACACAAGCCTCTGCACTGACAGGAGTGTGAAGAATCCAGCAGAGAACAGGTAGGCCATTGTTACTCTCTCCATTCACAATGAATTGTTCAATGACAGTAAGAATAAGAATGTGTTTCACATACCACGTGTGTACTATTCTCTGCATGCATGTGACATTATTTCTTGAGAGTCTTTGTCTGTATCTATAATTTAAAACATTTCTTAGTTCAACTATTACTTAATCATACAACTAACTTTACTAAATTATAGGCCAGGCTCTAAAAGTAAAAGTTCTTCCTCCTCCACCCACAGAAGTGCTGCTGGCGTTTCCTGGTTAAGATGAAGAAATCTGAAAAAGTATCAGAAATGAAAGTCTCCTCCACCACAGCCGACTCCAAAAGTTCTGTGCAACTCATGAGGCCTGTTGTCGCTGTAAACCAGATTTTTTACGCTAAACCACATCATGAAAAAGTTCCACCAGACGCAGCTTATTTCTGCCACAGCCACTTCAGAGGTGGACAAGTGAGCCATGCGTCAGGGAGCTGGCCTCCTCATGTGGGGCAGCAAGTCCAGCTGATGGACCACAGGCAGCTACGAGAGACTGGAGCAAGTTTTCCCAGGATAAATCTCCATCATCCCCCTCATCGAGGCTGGGACCCACGACCTGCAGACACCAGACAGAGAGGTAGCTGCTGGGACTGTGGACCAAACATGTGTGGAGCAGCAGAGCCTGCAAACAGAGACACACCTGGGTAACTCTCTTGTATGATGGTGTCTAGAAATTCATCATGTATAATTCGTATTTGGCTCGAGGATGAAAAAGGATGAGATAAATGTTTTTTCTGACTCTCAGAGGGGAGTACGAAGACAGTTCTCAGCCTCAGAGTGATGAAGAAGAGCTTGAGCCTCCGTTGCCGCTGAGATCTGATGACGAGTTGCAACACTACAGTCCCTTTTTACCTCCTCACCACTATACACACAACTATGGTAAGTATTTTTTTTCCTGTTTTGCTTGTTTCTATTTTATTTATAAAAAATAGAAGAAGTATTCACTTCTTTTTTGAAATCATTTTTACTTACTCACTTATTATATTTATTTATAGTTTAGTTTGTTTCAGTCGAATCCAGAACAAGACCAAATAATTCACCTATACGCTAATGAACAAGAAGAAAAGTTAAATTCACCACCTCCCTTCCCCTAAATAACATAACATATATAAACACAACATAACATAAATATAGGTCACTTTTTAAATGGATTTTTAATAGAAAGAACAACATAGAAATTAAAATATATATATCCTCTCTAATACGTGACTCATTGTCTGAATTACCTGAATGATTTATTTATTTTTATTAAGTCATTATAACACATTGTACAGTATAAGTATGAATAATATACAAGTCTGATTGTAAAAATGTAGGTTTGAGTGGATTTTTACTTTTTATTTATTATTACAATTATTGTTTTTTTCAAATGTTTTAAGAGAAACTACACTAAAAATGTTTTTACCAGTATATATGGATAAAAAAATGTTCATACACGTGCCGTCATCCAGAAATGTTTAACCCTGTATTGACAGGCCTTCATCACACTATGGATGTCCGGTATTATCACTCTGCAGGGGAAGGGCAGTATGACCTCAGATACCAACCTCAGCCTGGCCCCCCCTCTGCTTCCATCCAGCACAGAAGACCCTGTGATTACTCCCCAACGTGGTAAAAACAAAACCACTTCTAAATGCAAATACAAAAATATGTTCCCTATAAACACAAATGCATAAAGTCCCCCCAAGGTCACGGCTCATGTGTTTGATGCTGCAGCAGCCTCTACTTTGCATATTGCAGACATATCCCATGTCTCAACAGTTCTGCAGAAAATCCTTTGTTTGTTTTTCCTTCTGGCTGCTTCAGGCACCAACGTCATGATAACTGTTTGAGTGACAGTGTGGCACAGGCAGGCGTCTCGGTTAACGTGCCGCAGTTCTCCATCCCCCCTGTCGAGGGCGTGTCACAGGTCAGTGTGATGAACCTGAGCTCTGCTGGAGCTGAGGCACCTGTGACACATCCACATGAGAGAAGAAGAACCATCAGTCTGCCTGATGAGTGCCGTGAGTCGCTTTATCCCAGTGTGTCAGTTGACTCTGCTTTTTGGAGTGAGGCCTGTTTGAACTGCTCCTTTTATATTTGAGCACAGAAAAAAATGATCACAGGAAAGAAGAAACGAAACTATCCATGTGAGAATTTGACACACAAACAGTTTTCGGTTTTCACAAAAACATCAGCTGGGCATGTTGGGTGTGTCGTTGATTTCTTATGTGTCGCTATGAACCTGCCAAGCCTGTTTAGGGGCTTACTAAAATAAACCAAAATACAATTAAAATTAAAGATGAACACGGGACATTTATCTTGACTTCCACAGGACAATAATAATTTGTCAAGAATAATATATTAAAATGAAAGCAAATCCTTGGCTGGCAATGTTTATAATCATAATTGAAAAGGTAATCATAATCCAGCAGTAGAGTCAGCGGAGTGTAACCAGCTAAACACAAAAAAACCAATTTGTATCCGGGGTGACAATTCATAAACACATACACATAAGACTGTAGTTTGGACAGATGTATTGTGGTAAACACTTTACTTTAGGGTTTTACACTACATGATTATGCAAACAAATTATTAAAAAATTTTTCAGTGAAATGCCGTCCAATACAAAAACACCTTCAAAATGTCTCAGTGTAATCTCTAAAAACTAAAAATTTCGATTTCACTAAAATTCAGATTCACTCCAATATATTTAAATGGAAAAACAGGAAAAGTTTGCCCTCAAGGTTTTCTTGCCAGGTACATTTGCACATGATTAATATGCAAACGGTTAGTTTGTTTATATATACATTCATATATTTTATGTATAAAACATATGTTTTTTTACTTTTTTTCCCTTCTTAGGAAACATTTTTATAACGTATTCTTCAGACGTGCGCTCAGAAATGGTTCCTTTCGTAGACTTCCTCACAAAGCAAGGTTTTCGTCCAGCTGTAAGTTACAACCTACAGGTTTGATTGAAAAAACTTTTAAAGATAATCTGAGTCTTAAACATTCAACAAGTCCTGATTTCAATTTCACAGATCGACCTATTTGAAGACCCTATAAGAAGCCTGGACATCAACAAGTTGAAAGACATTTACTTAAAAGACGTAAGAATCTGATTTGAGCAGCACTAGTGTATATATTTTTCTTTTAAGATTCTGAATACGTCTAAAATGTGTGTATATTTGATTTTACAGCCATCCTACCTGATTATCATCGCCATCAGTCCAAAGTATAAAGCGGACATCGAAGGGTTGGTAGTGGACGATCTCGGCCTTCACACTAAATATATTCACTCCATGGTGAGACAGCATTAGCTCTTAATTTAAATGAGATATAATCATGTGGAGACATTTATTTAAATTTAAATCCTAATCTTGCAGATGCAGAATGAATTCATCCAACAAGGCAGCTTGAATTTTAGATTCATACCAGTTCTCTTCCTCAGTGCCTCCCAGGTCAGAGCTCTGCTTGATAACAGTTACTTGATAAATTCCTCTATCTTCTCTTCTTGAATTAATACATTTAATGCATGAATGTCTTTTTACAGAAGCACGTCCCCTGTTGGCTTCAGAACACACGTGTTTACCGCTGGCCACACGACACTGAGGATTTGTTACTGCGACTGCTGAGGGAGGAGAGATACGTTCCTCCGCCTGTTCCGATGGAGCTCACCCTCATCGTCAGGCCTGTGGCCCTGAGTGCCGCAGCGACACTGTGAAAAACAATTACAATCGAAATGGATCCAGAACAAATCAATGACAGTTCATGTTTTATGTTTCATTGATTCAAATGTATAGTTGTTTAAATGTTTCAATAAAGTTTCTTTTCGTGTGTGTTAATATGCACTGTATTTATATTTTCTATATGTTAACGGGTGGTTTACCTGAACCTTTGAGCAGGCATTTCTAAGAAGAATTGTCATAAAACTAGGTTCAAACATTCATGTTCCTCTAAGGGTGAGTTTCAACATCAGTGATCCCAATACATTTCATATCTCGCCACCGTTTGGTAAAAAATATAACTTGCACTTTGAACTTTAGACTTTGATGTGACAAGCATTAGCTAATGTTAACAATCTGAGGTGCACAACTAAGATGGTTAAAATGGTAAACATTACACCCTATTAGCAACACATTATTATCATTGTGTGTATGTTAGCATATCATTTTAGCATTTACCTGAGAGCACTTCAGTTCCTGACAGAGCTGCTAACATCCCTGTCAACTTTCAAATATTTAAACCTCACAGTATTTACTCTCAACTCATTTACCCTCTGGATAAAATTGTATGAAGACTCCAACACTAGTACAGCCCATATGGACTGTATGTAAAGATGAAAAAAACATGTCTGAGAGGGTCAATACACACGCTTGACCAATAACAAGTCTCAGCTGTCATGAGGTGTCATCTCCGTTTTTACAGCATCAAATAACGAACACCAAACCTACCCTTAAAGTTAACACTTGGACAAACATCAATGTGTGAGAAATATAGACTACGGAAACATCTTAGAAAAAAATTCTGTTGTGTACTTTTAAGTGTGGTCCATGCCCCATCCGTTAACATGGAGGAGGCTGGATTTATGACCTAAACTTTAGCCAGCCACGGGGGGGCGATCAAGGCGTCATGTCGTCCATCTTTATACACAGTCTATGTGTTGCAGGGTTTTAAAGAAACACAAGATGGAGCTGTTATACTGCACATGTTGAATCTTTCTTACAGTCATTTTATAATAAGTCATTTCTACTCTTGGATATGTGTTTATTTTTGAAGCTGCTGCCTGAAACCAAATACAAGAACATAAAAACAAAGTGATGTGTAATGATGGACCCTGCACCAGGAGCAAAAGCAGGTAGAGGCCATGTTGTACAGGCGTAACATGTGTGCACTGTTTTCATCTGTCTTGTTGTTCATTACTTATCCTGGTCACCTGCTGTATTCCAGTTTAAAGGGCAGATTACAGTGCCCCACCAGTAGGGGTGCCCAGTTCTGCCAACTGATCCTGCACACACCCCTCAAACCGCCAAAAAAGGCCTGCCAGAGCGGCTGGTGTGCGCTGAGCTCAAGCTAAGAATAACCTTCCTTCTGGGGGGATAATGTTACCCTGAAGCCTCCATGTACTCTGCTCTGACCTATACCCATGTGAGGCACCAATAACATGGGGTGGGATATTCTGTCTGCCCCCCGTCACTCTCCCCAGCCCTGTGCTTAGCTTGGCTCTTTCCTCTCCTGCGTCGCTTTCCTTTGCCCCACCATCCCGACCCCCCGTCTGCAATGCTGCCACACTGGCAGCTCCAAATTCTCAAAATACGACTGTAAACTTACATTTTATATTTGGGGTTTCCAACTCTTTCTTTTTTTTTCTCCTTGGAGAAGTTCCACCTGTGGATTACATGGAGCTAGAAACAGGACTGTGATCACCAATGGGAATGGAGTAATTTACTAAAAATACGTTTTTTATGTTACTGACGAAGTGGAAGCTGATTGGATTTACACTGAAGCTGTGATTTTTTTGTCACTTCTGCATGAGGAGGCTTTGCCCCCAACTCAAAGGATTACACCTGAAATAGTCTCCATATCATCATGGCTGAAGGTAGGACTGCTCCCCCTTCTACTCTTACATGTTATGACATAATGCCTTGATAATATATGCTCGGTCTGTAATAAATAAATGTCAATGTTTTGATAGGGTGCGTCCTCCTTGGAAAATGTGTTGAAAGTCGGTTGCTATAAATACAGGATATCATGTAGCCACAGTATTAGCGTCGCTCTCTTGTGACAGACCGCTGACCTCTGGGTTTTCAGACAACTTATGTCCAAGTACAGAATTAGAAGTATTGGGAAAATATACTCAAAGTTATATGTACTGGTTCTGCAGTAAAACGTTCCATGTGACTGATAGATTATTATGTACGACTTTATTAGATTGTTCATATTGATTCAGCAATGTTTATGTGACATTTTGCTGTTGTAGCTGATTGAGGTGGTGTTGTTTTTAAGTATTTTATCGTCCCCTCCAAAGGTTAAGAAGATAAATCTTAGCGGTTGTGAAATTATTAAAGAGAGAGTAAATTTGTGGTCTACAGATCTGTTTGTAGTTTTTGGACTTTGTTATGTGGTGAAATATTGAATTAATTTGACCTTTTTGGGCTTGAAACTGTCATTTAAATCAGACCATGTGAAAAGTTTGGAGGAAATTGCTTTCAACGCATTGACATTTGTTTTCTTGTGAGGTGACACAAGCCAATGGATGGAAACAATTGGTTTAATTTAACTCTGCATTGTATTTTATACTGTATACTATCATTATTTACCTAATTTCCCTTTGGGGATGAATAAAGTAATCTATCTATCTATATCTATCTTATAATTGTGAATTTAAATCTGTAGAGTAAGTAAATATTATAGCTGTGAGAATAGAGCAACAATTCACCCTTAAATTCAACTAAATAGAAGAACAAAGAAACTTTAAATGTGTAAAGTTAATAGTTCTGATTCAGTATTGTTTAGTTGAGTGAAAATGTTATTTTTTAAGGATTTATATATGAGGAAGTGACTCACGAGGGAGGTATGCTTTGAGCTCATTCACAGTTGGAAGGTGTCTCTAACACCCTGGCACCAGTGCAGCCCCAGTACAGCAGTTTATTAATGATGATGAGGCTGTCAGGAAATGTCATCACTGGCTTAATCCACCGTTACAGGCAGTAATCAGATGCAAATATCTACATGAAACTGATTTGAGCATTTTCTGATCTGAAATGTAACAAAATGTTGAAATCTCCGATAAATCCATGTTGATTTGGACACAAAACTCTAATTCACATGTTAGAAAACAAGTGCACATGTATTTGGAAAACACATGAATATGATGCTATTCTATAATGTAAAAGTTAGACACTGTCTTCTCCATGTTATGTGCAAATCCTTTGACCCAACATGAAGTATCCTTCACCTGTCAGGGTTTAGCTGCAGTGTGAAAATGATCAGAATGGAAATGTGGCTTCATTAAGTCATTAAAGTTGTTTTCTTACTGATGCACAGCCTCATAAAGAATTAGCTCATTAAGTAATGAAGAAAGTACCAGTGGATACATTTAGTCTCTAAATGCATTAGATTATATCCAATTCCCAAGATAGAAACATTATATCAGTAACTTCTGTTCATAAGTTTTTCAACATGGTTATAAATCCCTCTTGTTGAAGATGATTTACAATTTACAGTTTTTAGTAGGAACATTATTTTTGTGGTAAAAGTAAACAGATTTAGATATTTAGGAGTTTAAAACACCTCATGAGGATAAGCTGGTAGCTACAGAAGAATCAATTGTGACCAAAATATACTGTATATAAAAAATTGTACTGTCGTGGGGCATTTAATAGTTAAGAAATAAACTTGTGATGCACAAACTGTAACATTTGCCATTTCTCTGATATCAAATACGCTCCTCCTGATATGAGCTACAGTATATCAGGTGATATATTGGCACTGCACTTTTCCAGTGCACTTATGCAAGAACCAGTCCTCTGTGAAATGATGCTCAGTATCAACGTACATACTATTATACACTTTATTGTTTAGTATTTGGTTTTTACTACGAAATATCACAACAAGAATTGGGCTGAATATGCTGATCAGTCCAAGTTAATAAACTTCCAGTGTTGCAGCATTTGCATAGAAAGCAACATTATAAAGAGCACATCTTAAAGATGCTAATGTTGTTCAGAGTTCTTAAAGACACTTTGTTTTTTCACAAACAGGAAGCAAACCGGCCTCCTCCACTCCAGCCAGTGGGTCTGGTGGAGCAGTGGCGCCACAGACGAACTCTCTCAAGTCTAAAGGTCTGGGCCTCCTCAGGAAGGTGAAAGTGTCTGTGGAGCTGCTGATCGCACTGGCCGCTCTGCTGTCCTGGGTGGTTGTAGGGGTGGTGATGTTTGATTTCGTGGAATACAAGACTGTCCCAGGTAAGTCACACACACACACACACACACACACACACACACACACACACACACACAAATCTCTCTCTTTATTGGTTTCTGGCCATCGGATATGCAGGATTATCTGTGTTTGTGTTTTCAGACATTCAGCAAATCATTACGGACCCTATGCAAGCTGTGAACGACGCTGTAGATGAAGTATCCAGTCTGCTCAACAAGTTTCAAGGTACATGTGAAAAACTGGATGCAGGGTGCTCATTGTTTTCTATGTTTGAATGCAAGCATAGTAATACATAACTCTCCTTTCTGGGCCTCCAGAATGTGCACCTGATTTAAGTGACCCCGCATCTACTGCCGCTTATGTAGCTGAAGAAATATCGGAAGCAAAAGATGGATTCGTTCGACATTTTTCAGATGAGGATGGTATGGCAACTTGCTTGTACTCAAAGAATCTAAAACATTTTAAGTCGAATGCAACATAACCATATCCCTCCAAACCCGCAGGAAACTTCTACCTCAGCTACGTCGACCCTGTGGTCATCGGACGACGAGCTTTCCATTCAACCAACGACTTCATGGGTGGAATGGTGGGCAACGTCAGGGACTCACTGTGTGCTTTTGTGGACACTTTATTAGATATTATATCGGGTAAATCTAAAGGTATGTATTCCATGTTTTAATACTTCCAAACTGTTTGCCTTCCCTTTTTCATGTACAAGTAAATAACATACAAAATATGCTAATGTATTAAAAAATTCATCTTTAAATTGTTAATTACTTAACAATCTCTATCTTTTTATCAGGAAAAATTGACCTTGGCTACATTGACCCTGTGGTCACAGGCAGAGGCGTCTTCAGTGTTATTAATGAGTTCATATGTGGAGTGGAGGGCTACATCAAGAAAGTGCTCTGTGCCGTTTGGGACACTATTCTGGACGTGGTGAAAGGTATTTACTCTCCTTGTTTAACAGCTGCAATCACTTAGCATCTTAAAATGATTAATAACGTATTAAAAAGCATGGATTTTACACATCAGTACTTAGTTTTTGTTTTTTTTAATTTGTTTTCCTTCACAGGAACCACTGACATCAGCTTCATGGATCCTGTGTCAGTTGGCAGAAATGTCTTCAGCGCGACTAACGACACTTTGAGTGGAATAGCGACCTACATCCAGGACGTACTCTGTTCTATCATAGACAGTACACTGGATATTGTAAAAGGTATCTGCTTCATATTTAACCTTTGTATTGTTTGCATGTCATATTATCATGTTTGTATAATTGAATCATTATTTCTTACCTGTACTTATTCATTACTTAATCAGCATTGTTACTAAATATAACTGATAGCTTGTGTTTTGGGTGAGTAACAATGCATATTAGACTGTATATAAATATGGACAAAATTACGCTTCTTTTGTAATGTTCCTGTATAAAAAAAAATTAAATAACAGAGGATGTTTAATCAAGTAACTCACTGGCGTTTTGGCCTGAATGTTTGTTGTTCTGCAGGAACCACTGACATTACGTTCGTTGACCCTGTGGTCATTGGCCGGAATGCTTTCAGTTTTATTAATGACATTGTGAGTGGAGTCGCAGGATACATCCAGGGTGCTCTCTGTACATTCATGGATGTAATACTGGACACATTAGAAGGTATCCATATAGATTTTTAACCTTTCCCTAATCTGTTACCCATCTCAATGTATTCTTTGCTTTAGCATTCTAGTTGCTGTATTCACAAACTTCACAAGCCTAAACTGTTTTGTTCTCTATTGGTCAGATTTCCAGCAGGCTGTGGGATTCAGTCCCATGTCAGTTCTGAAGACGACAGCAGAAATCACCAAAGAACAGATTAACATGCTCGTGAGCTACGTCTCCTCAATGCTGCTCGGTGATGAAGGTCTGTACCAACTACATCTGATGTGGTGGCTAGAAAGACATAGATAAGTATGATATCTCTGACTGTGTGGTATGCTGGTTTTTCAGGGATTGTGTCTGAAGTGTCCATCGACCCCATGAAAGTTGTCGAAGACGCTGTGTTGGAGTTCACAGACAAGAAAGATTTGTTCGTGGCTTACATGTCAAGCATGCTTGTTGGTGATCAAGGTACGGTTTTTCATTTAGCTGTATA